CACTCCAGGGGAAGGATACTACAAAATCTCCATTTCCATTCCACTCCAGGGGAAGGATACTGCAAAATCTCCATTCCCTCCCCACTCCATGGGAAGGATACTGTAAAATCCCCATTTCCTTCCCACTCCAGGGGAAGGATACTGCAAAATCTCCATTCCCTCCTCACTCCAGCGGAAGGATACTGTAAAATCCCCATTCCCTTCCCACTCCAGGGGAAGGATACTGCAAAATCTCCATTCCCTCCTCACTCCAGCGGAAGGATACTGTAAAATCCCCATTCCCTTCCCACTCCAGGGGAAGGATACTGCAAAATCTCCATTCCCTCCTCACTCCAGCGGAAGGATACTGCAAAATCTCCATACCCTCCTCACTCCAGGGGAAGGATACTGCAAAATCTCCATTCCCTCCCCACTCCATGGGAAGGATACTGTAAAATCCCCATTCCCTTCCCACTCCAGGGGAAGGATACTGCAAAATCTCCATTCCCTCCCCACTCCATGGGAAGGATACTGCAAAATCCCCATTCCCTCCTCACTCCAGGGGGAGGATACTGCAAAAACTCCATTCCCTCCCCACTCCAGGGGAAGGATACTGCAAAATCTCCATTCCCTTCCCACTCCATGGGAAGGATACTGTAAAATCCCCATTCCCTCCCCACTCCAGGGGAAGGATACTGCAAAATCTCCATTCCCTCCCAATCAGCTGGGGGACTCAGGAGAATAGATGGGGGAGGGCCAGCCCAAGGTGGTATTTACAGGTTCTCCGAACTACTCAAAATTTCTGCTACCGGTTCTCCAGAACTGATCAGAACCTGCTGAATCCCACCTCTAGGCCATAGGCTGGTTCTCACAAGCAGAGGACTGACCTGCTGTACAGAATTCAATGATCTCACTCCATTCTGAAACCGTGTAGTCTCCATCCACTTGCTTGGAAGCTGTCTGCACAGCCACTGTGTATTCAGTCCGTGGGCTCAGGAACCAGTGGCCACGGACGGTCATAGGGAGGGGGACAGCTTTTGCCACTAGTTTTGTAGGTACATCCTAGTTGGGGGAGGAAAAAGGGAGGAAAAAGTAAGAAGATAGAAAGAGTGCCAGAAGATAAGTCAGCCCCCCAACTGTTGAGCCTCGTTTCCCCAGCTTGGTGTTCTCCACTCTCATAGGGAACAGTTGTGGAGTGGGCAAGCAACATCCTGTGCTAGGACACCACCACACAAACAGTGCAAATTACACAATGCATGTCAAATTATATACTTCATATTATTTCCACAGTGATATTATGATGCATGTGATATTCAACATGGCTTTCTCCAGATGCCTGTGATTGGGGGTTGTGGATCAGGTTAGTTTCTTACTAGAATTCAAATATTTTGAAATTTTATTGTCTCTTGTTAGTTGACTAATAGAAGAGAATTATTCAGGGGATAGATAGGCCATGACATAGGAAGGAAGGAAGGAAGGAAGGAATTAAGTAAGTAAGTAAGTAAGTAAGTAAGTAAGTAAGTAAGTA